AACGATAGCCCTCATTGGAATAAGGTTGTGTTGTCAACTTTTTGGCCACTCTGGGTGTCACGAACTATTTGACGCTGACTGTACATAAAAAGAGTAGTGTAGTAATGATCAGTTTTTATTTTTTAAAACAGACTCGATGAAATGTATTTTTATTATCTGTTTAAAATTTTAAAGTCTGTAAAGCATTTTTGGATGTCTTTGAAAAATCAATTTTGTTGTTTAAAAATTAAAAACCAAATCATGTTTTCATCATTGTAGAATTAAAAAAATACAATTTTAATAAACTATTTAAATGTAATTTTACATTGGAATATTTATATTTGCATTTTAAGTTGGCATAAACGTTACTATACAGGGTGTTAGGTAAATGGGTATATGAGCCGACACTAGTCCATGTTAACATGGACATATAAATGGTATGGTGAAGTCAGAAAATTGATATCTTCATTTTAATTATTTTAATTTTCATACAAATCGCATTTTATAAAATTTATTTTGTATGAAAATTTAAAATGTAAATATCAAATTTCTGACTTCACCATACCATTTATATGCATATGTTAACATGGGCTAGTGTCGGCTCATATACCCATTTACCTAACACCTTGTAGATCCAGCAGTGAGTCAGTGCTAGAGGTACGGGAGGGTGTTATAGTGACGTCAAACGTCTAATGTGCTTCAGATTTGTATGCTCTGTGACGTCATTTGTCAGTTATGTCACTCACCCCTCCCGTGCCGCTCTCATACCTCAGGGCTCAGGCACTGACTCAGTTATGCACTAAAGCCCGGTCGCCGAGCACGTAGAATTTTGTCCAATGACCCCAAGCTACCCATCCTTATCGCTCGCGCGTAATTATATTGCTGCCGCGACTGTGCGACAGGCGCCCGCAGTGAGTGTGCGAGCGCGACAGCAACATAATTAGGCGCGAGCGATAAGGATGGGTAGCATGGGGTCATTGGACAAAATTCTACGTGCTCGCAGACCAGACTATAGATCTATTCGATTTACATTGTCTGTGAAAACCTTTGTCTATAGAAAAAATCGTTAGAAACTTAGGGATTAAAAATGTAAAAAAATGTCAAAATTAGTCTTTATTTTGATGGAAAGAATGAAATACTACTTCGTACCCTGACTCGCCTTGTCTTTCTTAAGTACATACATTAGGCTATATACTATTAGGTATGTTTTGTATGTGTAAATAGTTTTAATGTATTATTGTGTAGCTAGGATTCTATGGATGTGAATAAACATATATTGTATAATTTGTGTTTTATTTGTGTACTCCCAGAGTTTTGAAATTGCATACTACCCGGTCAAGTTGTAGATCATTTCATCCACGAAGACGCGCCCCACCAATTTTTGGTCTCGGTCGCGCGGGGTGCGGGGAGTTTGATGCGAGCAATCAGAGCGTCATGATTGTAGTGTGCGTGTGCACTCATGGATGATTTAGCGTGTACCGATAACACTCAAACATTATAGACTAAGAGCTAGTGAACGCCAGACCTACGTCATTTTATAAAAGCTGAAAGTTTGTCAGCGTATGCTCCCAATATAGGATATAATGTTGGTGAATTATGAAGTTTGGGTCGTGGTGGCTTTGGGAGCTACCCTAAAAAAACTGTCTTTCAAGGAGTTGGAACTGTCAAAACTGTCTGGCTGTTGGGGAAAATACTTCTAATTATTGTCCAAATATTATACATAAAAATCAGATTTAATGGTATAACGTTAGTAGAATTACAGTCTTTTGAATATACAGAAAAAGCCACCGNATAGACTAAGAGCTAGTGAACGCCAGACCTACGTCATTTTATAAAAGCTGAAAGTTTGTCAGCGTATGCTCCCAATATAGGATATAATGTTGGTGAATTATGAAGTTTGGGTCGTGGTGGCTTTGGGAGCTACCCTAAAAAAACTGTCTTTCAAGGAGTTGGAACTGTCAAAACTGTCTGGCTGTTGGGGAAAATACTTCTAATTATTGTCCAAATATTATACATAAAAATCAGATTTAATGGTATAACGTTAGTAGAATTACAGTCTTTTGAATATACAGAAAAAGCCACCGTAAAAGTTAGATTTACGTTATAATAAAAAATCAGATTTTTATGTATAACTAGCTGACCCGGCGAACTTTGTTCCGCCTTAATGGCAATAAATAACGGGATAAAAAGTATCCTATGTCCTTCTCCTGGCTCTAAACTACCTCCCTGACAATTTTCAGCTAAATCGGTTCAGCCGTTCTTGAGTTATAAGCGAAGTAACTAACACGACTTTCTTTTATATATATAGATATTGGGGCAATTATTAGAAGTATTTTCCCCAACAGCCAGACAGTTTTGACAGTTCCAACTCCTTGAAAGACAGTTTTTTTAGGGTAGCTCCCAAAGCCACCACGACCCAAACTTCATAATTCACCAACATTATATCCTATATTGGGAGCATACGCTGACAAACTTTCAGCTTTTATAAAATGACGTAGGTCTGGCGTTCACTAGCTCTTAGTCTATTAGCGGAAGAATGGTGGGGCGCGTCTTGTTGGATGAAGCGATCTATAACTGCGCACTTGGTTCCCGTGACGTCACATTGACGCTCTGGTACGGACGGGAAGGTGTGTAAGTGGGAGTGCGCAGTTTGCTCGATCGGGTTGTATTTGTGAGCTCGAATCTGAATCTAGTTTTACATTGCTTAATGCCGCTCACAGATACTTGTCAAGATGTTTGTGAAGATGCACAAAAAGTCAATAGCTCCGTTACGTTTATTTTAATTGAGAAACAAATCCTAAATTAATTTAGTTGACAAAAATAAATGTACTTCATTTTGCTGTCCATAATTTTCTCTATTTTTGCAAAAAAAAAACTCATCAAAAATATTGATATCGTATTTGTGATGCTTTGAAAACTTGTACAAACATCTTGATACATATCTGTAGCAGTCTTGAAAAACAGCACAGATTAGAATTCTTTTTTAAAGACGATAGCAAATCAAGCTCAACACCGTGGCATCCTGCTTCTTACGAAATGCGAAGTCTTAATAAATACAGTTCGCGAGGCCTAAGCTGAGCTTTGCATTTGTGTGAATGCACATGGATAGTTTAGGTAGGTGTGCCAGGAATTTCCTGACGAATTTCATGCATTTCCTGACGAAAGGAAACTGAAATGAATGAAAAAAACTGGCACACCTTTGCCAGTTTTTTAGCAATGCAATATCAAAATCATCTTATTTGGTCAGATTCAGTAATTTGGTATTTGACATAGTTCATCTAGGGACCACATTCGGCGAGTTGTAGCGTCCAACTTACAACATCTACAAATTTATCATTCCGGCTACAAGTTTTTTTAGATTTGCTAAATCTTTATGTATACGAAACTTTGGTTTTCCACAGTGGCCTCTCGAAGGGAACACACATAACATTTTTGAACTTTTTTAAACATTTTTATCCAACTGCTTTTGGTGATCACACACAAGTGCAAAACTCAGCTTACGCCTCGCGAATATTTTGCTTCAAAAATATTAGCCTGATAAGCCGTCGCCTACAAAATTAAACCTCCCCAACAACAGAAGGAAGCCCCAGCCGAGACGACAGAGGAGCCCGATCCAGAGGTAGAGGGAACGAAAGAAGAGGACGCGGCCGCGAGAGAGAAGGAGGCGCGAGCTCAGGCCTCCATCAAGGAGAGGGAGAGAGAGGTGCAGCGAGCGCTTGCGACCAGTCTGCGGGACAGGGACAAGGAGCGGCAGTATCACAAGCGGGACGAGGCTGTGCAGGTGAGATAGCGTCCAATTAGGAGAGAGAGAGATCTGGTCTCCATCAAGGAGAGAAAGATAGCCTACGGCCAGGTAGTGTTAGTGGGAGCGAGACAGAATGCAGGTGAGACAGATGGCAGGTCTATAGAGGAGAGAGAGACAGCAGGCCTCCATCAAGGAGAGGGAAAGAGAGGTGCAGCGAGCGCTTGCGACCAGCCTGCGGGACAGGGACAAGGAGCGGCAGTACCACAAGCGGGACGAGGCTGTGCAGGTGAGATAGCGAGGAGAGAGAGAGAGATAGGAGGCTTCATTTTAGGAAAGAGAGGGAGACAGCAAGCGGCCAGCGAGTGCAGGTGAGACAGAGACGCAGACGGCAAGAGAGTCCAGGTGAGAGAGAAAGGCGTCCATTTCAATCAGAAGTGACCTGAAGGCAAAGGGAATGAAAGAAGAGGACGCGGCCGCGAGAGAGAAGGAGGCGCGAGCACAGGCCTCCATCAAGGAGAGGGAAAGAGAGGTGCAGCGAGCCCTCGCCACCAGCCTGCGGGACAGGGACAAGGAGCGGCAGTACCACAAGCGGGACGAGGCTGTGCAGGTAAGATCTAGGAGAGAGACTTATGAGACTCCCTTCAAGAGAGAGGGAGACAGTAGGCGGCTAGCGAGTGCAGGTGAGCCAGACGGCAGGCCTCCATCAAGGAGAGAGAGAGGTGCGAGTCCGCGGGACAGGGACAAGGAGCGGCAGTATCACAAGCGGGACGAGGCTGTGCAGGTGAGATAGCGTCTAATTAGGATCAAGTCTCCATCAAGGAGAGAGAGACAGCCTGCGGCCAGCTAGTGTAAGTGGGAGAGAGACAGAAGCGCGACTAGCTAGGTGATTCAGGTGGTAGGCCTCTAGCGAGAGAGGAAACGCGTCAGGGCTCCATCAAGGAGAGGGAGAGAGAGGTGCAGCGAGCGCTTGCGACCAGTCTGCGGGACAGGGACAAGGAGTGGCAGTATCACAAGCGGGACGAGGCTGTGCAGGTGAGATAGCGGGGAGAGAGAGAGAGATGGGAGGCTTCATTTTAGGAAAGAGAGGAAGACAGCAAGCGGCCAGCGAGTGCAGATGAGACAGAGACGCAGACGGCAAGACAGTCCAGGTGAGAGAGAAAGGCGTCCATCTCAATCAGAAGTGACCTGGAGACAGAAGGAACGAAAGAAGAGGACGCGGCCGCGAGAGAGGAGGAGGCGCGAGCACAGGCCTCCATCAAGAAGAGAGAGAGACAGCCTGCGGCCAGCTAGTGTAAGTGGGAGAGAGACAGAAGGCGGGTATAGCTACCCCCGTGCACTAGCGTGCAGGTTAGACAGCGATAGCAGGTGAGACAGATGGCAGGTCTATAGAGAAGAGAGAGAGACAGCAGGCCTCCATCAAGGAGAGGGAGAGAGAGGTGCAGCGAGCGCTCGCTACGAGTTTGAGGGACAGGGACAAGGAGCGCCAGTATCACAAGCGGGACGAGGCTGTGCAGGTGAGATAGCGAGGAGAGAGAGAGAGAGATAGGAGGCTTCATTTAAGGAACGTGAGGGAGACAGCAAGCGGCCAGCGAGTTCGGACAAGGGAGGCCAGCGAATGCAGGTGAGACAGAGACGCAAACGGGAAGAGAGTCCAGGTGAGAGAGAAAGGCGTCCATTTCAATCAGAAGTGACCTGGAGACGGAACGAAAGAAGAGGACGCGGCCGCGAGAGAGAAGGAGGCGCGATCTCAGGCCTCCATCAAGGAAAGAGAGAGACAGCATGCGGCCAGCTAGTGTAAGTGGGAGTGAGACAAGCGCGGGTATAGCAACCCTTGTGCACTAGCGTGCAGGATGGCAGGTCTATAGAGGAGGGAGAGACATCAAGGAGTATGAGAGAGAGGTGCAGCGAGCCCTCGCCACGAGCTTACGAGACAAAGTCAAAGTCAAAATTTCTTTATTTGTTTAGACTAATAAATAGTTCTTACAAATCGTCATTTTGCTCTTAAGGAGCCTCTACATGTCTCATAATCTTTTTACCCTACCAGCGCTTCGAGACCAACATTTGGCAAGTGCTGACAGGGACAAGGAGCGCCAGTATTAAAAGCGGGACGAGGCTGTGCAGGTGAGATAGCGTCTAATTAGGAGAGAGAGAGACAGCCTGCGGCCAGCTAGTGTAAGTGGGAGAGAGAGAAGCGCGGGTATAGCTACCCTCGTGCACTAGCGAGCTGGTTAGACAGCGATGGCAGGTGACTAGCGAATGCAGGTGAGACAGATGGCAGGTCTAGAGGAGAGAGAGAGACAGCAGGCCTCCATCAAGGAGAGGGAGAGAGAGGTTCAACGAGCGCTTGCGACCAGTCTGCGGGACAGGGACAAGGAGCGGCAGTACCACAAGCGGGACGAGGCTGTGCAGGTAAGATATTAAGCCTCCAGCTAGGAGAGAGAGATTGGAGGTCCCCTTCAAGAAGAAAGAGAGACAGCCTGCGGCCAGCTAGTATAATTGGGAGAGAGACAGAAGCGCGGGTATAGCTAGAAGGCGATAGCAGGCGACTAGCGAATGCAGGTGAGACAGACAGCAGGCCTCCATCAAGGAGAGGGAGCGAGAGGTGCAGCGAGCCCTCGCCACGAGCTTACGGGACAGGGACAAGGAGCGCCAGTATCACAAGCGGGACGAGGCTGTGCAGGTGAGATAGCGTCTAATTAGGAGAGAGAGAGAGAGATAGGAGGCTTCATTTAAGGAACGTGTGAGAGACAGCCTGCGGCCAGCTAGTATAATTGGGAGAAAGACAGAAGCGCGGGTAGCTAGAGCAGATGAGTCAGATGGCAGGTCTATAGAGGAGAGAAAGACAGCAGGCCTCCATCAAGGAGAGGGAGAGANTCGTCGGACTATGTCAGCGACTCGAGTTCGGTTACGGATCTCCTCATTTCTGATTCGATATCTTTAAGAAGTGCAGACTTAAGGTAGCACAATGGAGAAGTTTCCAACGTTTTTCTTTTAAATATACTTGAAAATATAAGTAAAATTAATAATAATTGTGAAAGAATCATGAAAATATGTACAAATAAAGAAGTTACAGGGCCCTAAAGTTGCGCTTAACAAATATGTTTCGTAGAACATGGTGCCATTTAATTAAAACACTTTCTTTTACGGTTCTACAAATATATTGAAACCATGACAGTTCAGTACGATGACAAAAAAGAGAGAGAACAAAAGAAGTTCTAAACTAATTAAAAATAAAACGCCGCGCCGCGCACAGATTAGAGCAAGGAGGCTGAACGCCGCAACAAAATATTTCGCGCCATTTGATCGGTGTAGTCACGGCAGTCATTCATAATACGAACAGTTAATCACCAGTGCTGTTGACAGATCCAATTTTTAAAAATTTTTGTTTTTTAGCCAGGGTGACTCAAGATTCTCGGCTTTCGCCACGGTTTCAATCTAACGTTATAATAAATGTGTCCCAGGAGCGCCTCTTCAGCCAGCACACAGCAGCGCTGGCGAGCAAGCGTCGCGACAAGCTACGCGCGCTACTCAACGAACTAAACGTGTCGTGCACGGCGCACTGGCGGGACGTCAAGACGCAGTTGCAGGAAAACCCTGCTGCGCCGGTCTACTCGGCCGCTTCACAAGTGAGTTGTGAAGACTATGTAGTTCTAGAAATTGTCCAGAGATGGCGCTAGGTGTCTTTCAAATAGGAGCTCAATGTGTCATGTCAAGACGCAGCTACAGGAAAACCCTGCTGCGCCGGTCTACTCGGCCGCTTCACAGGTGAGGAGTAATCCAGAGATGGAGCTAGAAGTCTTTATAGGTAGACCGTAATGCTAGGAGTTATACAGAGGTGGCGTTAGGAGTCTAAACGTGTCGTGCACGGCGCACTGGCGGGACGTCAAGACGCAGTTGCAGGAAAACCCTGCTGCGCCGGTCTACTCGGCCGCTTCACAGGTGAGTTGATGACGATGTAGTTGTAGGAATTGTCCAGAGATGGCGCTAATTGTCTTCACAAGCGGGACGAGGCTGTGCAGGTGAGATAGCGTCTAATTAGGAGAGAGAGAGAGAGATAGGAGGCTTCATTTAAGGAACGTGTGAGAGACAGCCTGCGGCCAGCTAGTATAATTGGGAAAAAGACAGAAGCGCGGGTAGCTAGAGCAGATGAGTCAGATGGCAGGTCTATAGAGGAGAGAAAGACAGCAGGCCTCCATCAAGGAGAGGGAGAGAGAGGTGCAGCGAGCGCTCGCTACGAGCATACGAGACAGGGACAAGGAGCGCCAGTACCACAAGCGGGACGAGGCTGTGCAGGTGAGATAGCGGGGAGAGAGAGAGATAGGAGGCTTCATTTAAGGAACGTGAGAGGGAGAGAGACAGCCTGCGGCCAGCTAGTGTAACTGGGAGAGAGAGAAGCGCGGGTATAGCTACCCCCGTGCACTAGCGTGCAGGTTAGACAGCGATAGCAGGCGACTAGCGAATGCAGGTGAGATAGGTGGCAGGTCTATGGAGAGAGAGAGACAGCAGACCTCCATCAAGGAGAGGGAGAGAGAGGTGCAGCGAGCGCTTGCGACCAGTCTGCGGGACAGGGACAAGGAGCGGCAGTACCACAAGCGGGACGAGGCTGTGCAGGTGAGATATTAAGCCTCCAGCCAGGAGAGAGTGAGAGAGAGATAGGAGGTCCCCTTCAAGAAGAGAGAGAGACAGCCTGCGGCCAGCTAGTATAATTGGGAGAGAGACAGAAGCGCGGGTATAGCTAGAAGGCGATAGCAGGCGACTAGCGAATGCAGGTGAGACAAACAGCAGGCCTCCATCAAGGAGAGGGAGCGAGAGGTGCAGCGAGCCCTCGCCACGAGCTTACGGGACAGGGACAAGGAGCGCCAGTACCACAAGCGGGACGAGGCTGTGCAGGTGAGATAGCGTCCAATTAGGAGAGAGTGAGAGAGATCAGGTCTACATCAAGGAGAGACAGAGACAGCTTGCGGCTAGCTAGTGTAAGTGGGAGAGAGACAGAAGCGCGGGTACAGCTACCCCCGTGCACTAGCGAGCAGGTTAGACAGCGATAGCAGGCGACTAGCGAATGCAGGTAAGACAGATGGCAGGTCTATAGAGGAGAGATAGACAGCAGGCCTCCATCAAGGAGAGGGAGAGAGAGGTGCAGCGAGCGCTTGCGACCAGTCTGCGGGACAGGGACAAGGAGCGGCAGTATCACAAGCGGGACGAGGCTGTGCAGGTAAGACAGCGTTAAATTAGGAGAGAGAGAGAGATCAGGTCTCCATCAAGGAGAGAGAGGGAGACAGCAAGCCGCCAGCGAGTGTGGGCAAGAGAGAGGCCAGCGAGTGCGGACAAGAGAGAGGCCAGCGAGTGCGGACAAGAGAGAGGCCAGCGAGTGCAGGTGAGACAGAGACGCAGACGGCAAGACAGTCCAGGTGAGAGAGAAAGGCGTCCATTTCAATCAGAAGTGACCTGGAGGCAGAGAGAACGAAAGAAGAGGACGCGGCCGCGAGAGAAAAGGAGGCGCGAGCTCAGGCCTCCATCAAGGAGAGGGAGCGAGAGGTGCAGCGAGCGCTTGCGACCAGTCTGCGGGACAGGGACAAGGAGCGGCAGTATCACAAGCGGGACGAGGCTGTGCAGGTGAGATAGCGTCTAATTAGGAGAGAGAGAGATATAGGAGGCTTCATTTAAGGAACGTGAGAGGGAGAGAGACAGCCTGCAGCCAGCTAGTGTAAGTGGGAGAGTGACAGAAGCGCGGGTATAGCTACCCCTTTGCACTAGCGTGCAGGTTAGACAGCGATGGCAGGCGACTAGCGAATGCAGGTGAGACAGATGGCAGGTCTATAGAGGAGAGAGAGAGAAAGCAGGCCTCCATCAAGGAGAGGGAAAGAGAGGTTCAGCGAGCGCTTGCGACCAGTCTGCGGGACAGGGACAAGGAGCGCCAGTATCACAAGCGGGACGAGGCTGTGCAGGTGAGATAGCGGGGAGAGAGAGAGAGAGATGGGAGGCTTCATTTTAGGAAAGAGAGGGAGACAGCAAGCGGCCAGCGAGTGCAGATGAAACAGAGACAGCAGAAGGCCAGAGAGTCCAGGTGAGAGAAAAAGGCGTCCATCTCAATCAGAAGGGACCCGAGGGCAGAAGGAACGAAAGAAGGCCGCGAGAGAGAAGGAGGCGCGAGCACAGGCCTCCATCGAGGAGAGGGAAAGAGAGGTGCAGCGAGAGCTTGCGACCAGTCTACGGGACAGGGACAAGGAGCGCCAGCGTCCAGCTAGGAGAGAGAGAGAGAGATAGGAGGTCCCTTTCAAGAAGAGAGAGGGAGACAGAAGGCCAGCAAGTGCAGGTAAGACAGAAGCAGGTAAGGAGTTTAGGTGAGAGAGAGACAGCATGCGGCCAGCTGCTGAAGGTGAGAGAGAGGACAGAAGGCGGGTAGCTAGTTTGGGTGGCCCTGGGAGAGAAACAGTAGGCGACAAGCGATAGCGGGTTAGAGAGACCAGCGAGTTTAGGTGAGACCAAGGTAGCAAGCGATCAGCGAGTGTGGAAAAGAAAGGGACGACATTGGAATAGGAGAAAAGAGAAACTTACCTAGAGAAAGGTAACAGAGGAAGAGGTAGTCAGCAAGTGTTGATGTGACAAAACAGACTTCCATCTCAGTCAGACTTAGTTATTGTCATCATTGATAACAATCGCTTGTTGGTAACTGATGATTCTTGACTCATAGGCACACAAGTAAGCACCTGGATACAGGCAGCGCGACCGGTAGTTGTAGATATCCTTGGAGGCCTTTGTTCAGCAGTGGACTACTTTAGCTAAAATGATGATGATGATACAGTTTTTGGAGGGCTTATGTTTTGACTTGAAACAATCTATGTATACTCATATTATAAAGCTGAAGAGTTTGTTTGTTTGTTTACTTGAACGCGCTAATCTCCGGAACTACTGGTCCGATTTGAAAAATTATTTCAGTGTTAGATAGCCCATTTATCGAGGAAGGCTATAGGCTACGATCAATAGGAGCAGAGCAACAATGAAAAATGTTGCGAAAACGGGTTTTCACGCGTATGAAGTCGCGGGCGGTCGCTAGTCGTCGAATAAAGGACTATATTTTCTTATAGAAACTTGCATCAACTATGTACTCTTCTTTATGCTATCAGTATAATGCATCATCCAAATCCACTACATGATTCTCTTCTCTCCCGCAGCATTTCAATGCTCTGCTAGCAGACCTGGTCCGCAACCCGGACCTGTCGTGGCGGGAGGCGAAGAAACAGCTGCGTAAAGACCACCGGTACAGCCTCGCTGAACTGCTGACCAAGGAGGACAAGGTGAGTCGGTCAAAGATTTGCTGAGAACTCAAGCATGCTTGAGAGAATTTAAAGTCATGTCGCACTGTTTTGCACTGGCGTATCTAGCTAGAGTGCTTTTTCAGGGGGAATATGCCATGCGATTAGTATCATCATAGCTCATGAATTACTACTATCAACTTTAGCTATAACTCATAGGCTAGATAGTTGAGGGAGCTCAATGATTTCCACAATGGCCGGTTGGTGACGGCCTGCATCCAGCGCCTTCCTGCTATCTTTATGAGATCGTTGGTCCACCTTGTACGTGGCCTCCACTCCAGAACCTTGCTGCCCCATCGGCCGTCAGTTCTGCGTGCTATGTGCTCTGCTCATTGCCACTTTAACTTGTTAATTCGTCGGGCTATGTCAGCAACTTGAGTTCGTTTACGGATCTCCTCATTTCTGATTCGATATCTTTAAGAAGTGCAGACTTAAGGTAGCACAATGGAGAAGTTTCCAACGTTTTTCTTTTAAATATACTTGAAAATATAAGTAAAATTAATAATAATTGTGAAAGAATCATGAAAATATGTACAAATAAAGAAGTTACAGGGCCCTAAAGTTGCGCTTAACAAATATGTTTCGTAGAACATGGTGCCATTTAATTAAAACACTTTCTTTTACGGTTCTACAAATACAGTCGTGGTCAACTAATTAGGGACAGATAGAATACTAAGCAATACTAAGTGTTCATATCCTATTATTGTGAGCTTCATTCAATATTACTGGCTGTTACTTTGTAAACATATTGACTATCAAGTACTCTATTTAACAGAATACAATAACAACAAAAAAATTTACTATCTTAATAAAAAATCTTAATCAAATCACATGAATCGGTAATTATGGTACGGACGGTCTGGCCACCTAATTAGGNAGTCTCATGAACATTTCAACACGATAACGACCCAAAACATACCGCGTACTCTGTTTAATCGTTCCTAGCGCAACAGTCAGTGACGGTACTAGATTGGCCCGAAAACAACTCAGACTTAAGCCCTATAGAGCTTATGGTATGAAACGAAGGAAAAAGTTGCAGCTCAACGTACTGGCACTAAAAATCAGCTTTTCGTGGCATTTAATGGTGTTTGGAATAATATTTCTTTAGAAACCTGTAATGATTTGATTACATCCATGCCGCGCCGATGTCAAATGGTTATAACCAACAAAACCAACCATATTGGTTATAAAAATACGTTTGATGATTTTGTTTTGTATTCTATATTTATTAATGAAAACTGTTTATGTAATAAACACTTAAATAATTTCCAATTTATTTACATTTACAGTGAAAGTGTTACGTGTCCCTAATTAGTTGTCCAACCCTAGGTCAATAAATGTGTAGGTGGCAATGATTTATTTATTTTAAAAATATTGATCGCAACTAGCTAGTTTCTTTTCTGGCCTTTAAATATTTAGAATACTAGCCAAATTACTTGTTATTAATAGGCACAAGCTACAAAGCCTCGTGAAGATTTTTTTTTCGGACTGGATAGACGGTCTTGTGTTTTAGTCATATAACGTCCCTAATTAGTTGACCACGACTGTATATTGAAACCATGACAGTTCAGTACGATGACAAAAAAGAGAGAGAACAAAAGAAGTTCTAAACTAATTAAAAATAAAACGCCGCGCCGCGCACAGATTAGAGCAAGGAGGCTGAACGCCGCAACAAAATATTTCGCGCCATTTGATCGGTGTAGTCACGGCAGTCATTCGTAGTACGAACAGTTAATCACCAGTGCTGTTGACAGATTATATTTTTAAAAATTTTTGTTTTTTAGCCAGGGTGACTCAAGATTCTCGCCTTTCGCCACGATTTCAACCTAACGTTGTAATAAATGTGTCCCAGGAGCGCCTCTTCAGCCAGCACACAGCAGCGCTGGCGAGCAAGCGTCGCGACAAGCTACGCGCGCTACTCAACGAACTAAACGTGTCGTGCACGGCGCACTGGCGGGACGTCAAGACGCAGTTGCAGGAAAACCCTGCTGCACCGGTCTATTCTGCCGCTTCACAGGTGAGAAGTTATCCAGAGATGGCGCTAGAAGTCTTTATATGTAGGACGTAGTGCTAGGAGTTATCCAGAGGTGGAGCTAGAGGTCTTATGACGACGTAGTCCTAGAAATTACCCAGAGATGGCGTTATTGTCGTATGACGATGTAGGCCTAGAAATTATCCAGAGATGACGCTAGATACAAGTCTTTTAAATAGGGCGTTTTGAGCTAGAGATTTCAGGTCTCCTTCAGATTGATATGCTCTGTCATGTGATATGTCAATGCCACCATCCCTCCTCCATAGCTCAGGCACTGACTGAGTTAAGCTCTAGAGTCTAGAATCTAGACCTATAGTCCGTAGTCTATGTACCCATAAGTGTAAGTTACGCGCGCTGCTCAACGAACTCTACGTGTCGTGCACGGCGCACTGGCGGGACGTCAAGACGCAACTGCAGGAGAATCCCGCTGCGCCGGTATATTCTGCTGCTTCACAGGTGAGTTGTGATGACTATGTAGCTTTGTAAGTCACCCAGAGATGGCGTTAGGGGTCTTATGACGATATAGTCCAAGAAATTGTCCAGAGATGGCGCTAGGTGTCTTTCAAATAAGAGCTCAATGTGTCATGTACACTGGTGCGACGTCAAGACGCAGCTCCAGGAGAATCCCGCTGCGCCTGTCTACTCGGCCGCTTCACAGGTGGGACGTAGTTCTAGGAGTTGTCCAGAGATGGCGCTGCGTGTCATTTGTTTCTTTAGCTATGACGTAAGGTGCGTTGATGAAGATGTAGTTCTAGAAAAGTGCTTTTTTAAAGCCTACTTACAGAAATAAATGAGTTTTGATGATGATTATAGACCCATCTCACTTCTGAGCCATGTCTACAAGCTGTTTTCAAGAGTCATTACGAATCGTCTCGCTCGCAGGCTCGACGACTTCCAGCCTCCCGAACAAGCCGGTTTCCGAAAAGGCTTTAGTACCATAGACCACATACATACGCTAAGGCAGATTATACAGAAGACCGAGGAGTNAAAACGCCTACGACATGGCACAGAAGTGTGGTGGTACTCTTCTTCAAAAAAGGTGACAAAACCTTATTGAAGAATTATAGACCCATCTCACTTCTGAGCCATGTCTACAAGCTGTTTTCAAGAGTCATTACGAATCGTCTCGCTCGCAGGCTCGACGACTTCCAGCCTCCCGAACAAGCCGGTTTCCGAAAAGGCTTTAGTACCATAGACCACATACATACGCTAAGGCAGATTATACAGAAGACCGAGGAGTATAATCAACCACTTTGCCTGGCGTTTGTGGATTATGAGAAAGCCTTCGATTCGGTCGAGACCTGGGCAGTGCTACAGTCTCTCCAAAGGTGCCAAATTGACTATCGATATATCGAAGTGTTGAGGGATTTGTACAAAAACGCCACAATGTCGGTCCGCCTCCAGGATCGGGATTCGAAACCTATCCAGTTGCAGCGAGGGGTAAGACAGGGAGACGTCATATCTCCAAAACTGTTTACCACCGCCCTGGAAGATGTCTTCAAGCTTCTGGACTGGAACGGATTTGGCATAAATATCAACGGCGAGTACATCACCCACCTTCGATTCGCGGACGATATCGTAGTCATGGCTGAGACCTTGGAGGATCTAGGCACTGAGTTTTTTACTGAGAAGTTATTCATAGATGGTGCTACCGCCGCTTTGTGAGTTATAGTTCTAAAAATTATTCAGAGATGGCGTTGTATCTCGTTTGCATCGCGATATTGCTTGTTTTTATCGTATAAGTAGTTACAAAATTTATACATACGAAAACATTAATTTAGATACTTCTAAACTACTTTTCTCAACAATGCTATTATTTAACTATTGTGTCTTTTTGCGCAGTTACACTATGCGCGAGTTTGATCGAATCAGATAGAGTAAACATAAACATGCAGTTCAGTTCATTTCGCCGTGGGGCGCCCATACTTTCGTGCATGTATTCGATCAACTTTGCACATAGTGTGAACAGTGGATATCCGTTTAGTTTTGGTACTGCGTGAAGTTTATTTTTATTACTGTGTAGCTACTTCACTCCACCTGACTTGACTCGTTCTCTCACAGATGGAGCGAGAATTCCGCGATTACCAGCGCGACAAGCAAAGCGCGGCCAAGACGGCGCTCAGACAACTGTTACTTGAGACGCGCTCGCTCACGCACAAGTCGCACGCCGCCGTGCGCGAAGCAGGATCTATGCAGCACGTGCACGACGCGCTCAGGCACGACGCCAGGTCAGTCTACCTTAAGAGCAGAAAGTAGAAAAACATATCTGTTTTCCCTTCCCCCAGGATCAAGTCAACGCCTTTGACCAGACACCTTTCACCTGATCAAACTTCTCCCCCTGGATCAACACCCCCTTAGGATCAACCTACCCACTGAATCACACTCCCCCTAGATCAAATTACCCTTATAGACTTGACTGCCCTTCCTGGATCAGAATGACCTGACCTACTTACTCTCTGATTAGACCCCCTGGAACAAACTGCCCGGATTAGACTACCCGCTAGGTCACTAGGTGTAACACTAGATCAGTCCCATAGTGGCCAAGACGGCGCTCAGACAACTTCTGCTTGAGACGCGCTCGCTCACGCACAAGTCGCACGCCGCCGTGCGCGAGGCGGGCTCCATGCAGCACGTGCACGACGCGCTCAGGCACGACGCCAGGTTAGTGTGCCTTATCTTTCGATCTGAAGGGTCTAAAAGCAGAAAAAATACTGATTCCACCTGGATCAAGCCAAAACTCTTGATTAGACTCCTCCCCCCGATCAGACTTCTTCTCCCAGATCAGATTTCCCCTTCTGGATTAGACTCCCCTCTGGATCAGATTTCCCCTTCTTTATTAGACTCCTCTCTGGATCAGATTACCCCCTGTATCTGAAATGGATCCGACTACATCCTGGATCAGGTTCCTCCCTGATTCCTTTCTAATAAGACTTCCCTAGATCAGACCCTTCCTGGATCAGACTTCACCCCTGATCAGACTCCTTCCTCTGATCAATCTCCTCCCCCTGATGAGACTCCTTCCCCCATGATGAAGACTCCCTAGATCAGACCCTACCTGAATCAGACTCCCCTCCTAGATCAGATTAATCCCCCATAAATGGGGTGGGACTGCCGCCCTTTTAAATCAGCACTCCTTCCCCTGAGCTAGATATAAGCTAAGTACGTATCACACTATTCGCTAAGAAGACACTGGATTAGGATAGGAAGTCTATTAGCAATAGGGTAGCCCCTCAAAACCTTGCTTGAGCAAGACACTAGGTCAGTAGCATAGAAGCCAAGACGGCGCTCAGACAACTGCTACTCGAGACGCGTTCACTTACCCACAAGTCGCACGCCGCCGTGCGCGAGGCGGGCTCCATGCAGCACGTGCACGACGCGCTCAGGCACGACGCCAGGTTAGTGTTCCTTATCTTTCGATCTGAAGGGTCTAAAAGCAGAAAAAATACTGATTCCACCTGGATCAAGCCAAAACTCTTGATTAGACTCCTCCCCCCGATCAGACTTCTTCTCCCAGATCAGATTTCCCCTTTTGGATTAGACTCCCCTCTGGATCAGATTTCCCCTTCTGAATTAGACTCCCCTCTGGATCAGATTTCCCCTTCTGGATTAGACTCCTCTGGATCAGATTACCCCCTGGATCCGAAATGGATCCGACTACTTCCAGGATCAGGTTCCTCCCTGATTCCTTTCTAATAAGACTTCCCTAGATCAGACCCTTCCTGGATCAGACTTCCCCACTGAATAATACTCCCCTAGGACCAGACTAACGCACCTGGATCACTCTTACCTTCTGGATCAGACTACACACTCCCTCCTCTAAGCTAAAAAGAAGCAAAGTACGCATCACACTAGGTCAAACGCACAGTCCTAAGACACTAGCTCATTATCACAGCATTACGAACGTAATAGGAAACCTATCAGCAATAGGGTAGTCCCTCAAAACCTTGCTTGAGCAAGACACTAGGTCAGTAGCATAGAAGCCAAGACGGCGCTCAGACAACTTCTACTGGAGACGCGTTCACTTACCCACAAGTCGCACGCGGCCGTGCGCGAAGCAGGATCTATGCAGCACGTGCACGACGCGCTCAGGCACGACGCCAGGTCAGTATTAAGTGCCTAAAGTCCAGATCGGACTACCCCATGGTACAAACTATCCTCTCCCTGGATCAAACTACCCCTATATCAGACTGATATATCAGACCAGGCACGACGCCAGGTGAGTCTAACTTAAGTGTCTAAGAGCAGAAAGAAAATAGGTTTCTCCTCTCGATCAGACTCCCCTTGGGGTAATGGTTCTGGATCAGAATCCCCTTGGATCAAACTTCTCCCATATCAGACTCCCCCTGATTCAGAATACCTCCTGGATCAGAGTTCACTTGATCAGACTTCCCTTATATGAGACTCCCTTCCAAGATCAGATTACTGATCAGATAGTCTATGACTAAATAGGTCTTAAGTAACATTATATCTAATCAAATAAGAACTACTCTGTAACCACCTATTTAAGGCAAATAAATGATTATTATTATTATTATTATTACTGCCTGAATCTGACTACCTCCCGGATCAACACCCCCCTAGCATCATTCTACCCCCTGAATCACACTCCCCCTAGATCAGATTCTCCCCATGGACCAGATTGCCCCTCCTGTATCAGACGGTCTGATACAAAAGGTCTGATTCAGGCCCTGCCTCTTGCTCTTCGAGTATCCACGGAAGACCAGCGTCGTGGTTTCCCACCACACCACGGCATGATGCTGAGTGGATACTCCTCCTAGACCAGACTCCCCCTCCTATATCAGACTACCCTTTCTAAATCCTGGTCTGTGAGCACGTAGAATATTGTCCAACGACCCGACGGGCATGCGACTGTGCGACGGGCGCCCGCAGTGAGTGTGCGAGCGCGACAGCAACATAATAATTATGTTGCTGTCGCGCTCGCACACTCACTGCTCGCGCGTAATTATGTCATAATTACGCGCGAGCGATAAGGATGGGCAGCTTGGGGTCATTGGACAATATTCTACGTGCTCACAGACCAGACTATAGATCAGACTCCCCCCTAATCAGACTCCTAGATCATTCCCCTCTTGAATAAGAAACCCCTTCCAGATCAGTCATTTTTTTTAATTTCACCTGCTAATCATTCTATCTACCCGTAGGTACACAGCGCTGGAGCACATTCCGGACGAGCGGACCGCCATGATCACGAGCTACCTGGAGGAGCTGGAGAAGAAGGGCCCGCCGCCGCCGCCCACCGCCACCGAGCCCAGCCGCCGCGCCAAGCAGTGACGCGTGTGAGTCACGTAGGTAGACATCCTACAGGAATAACGGCCAATCAATAGGTGGTTCCTATTGGCCGATGGGGCAGCAAGGTTCTGGAGTGGAGGCCACTTACCGGAAAACTCAGCGTAGGACGTCCAACCAACCGGTCATCATGCAAATGATTGGGGGAGGCCTATGTTCAGCAGTGGACGTCCTGTGGCTGAAATATGATGATGATGAACAGGCACCGGGAGATGTGCTGAGTAACTGCTACCGAGCCCAGCCGCCGCGTTAAGCAGTGACGCGTGTGAGTATACATATTCCCATGGGTCTTCCCACTAAGGCCGGGATCCCATGGTCTTCCCACTAAGGCATTGGTTCCCAAAGTGGGGGGCACAAAGACCTTTAAAGGGGGACGCGGAATATTTTGTATGGTCGAAAGGGGGCGCGTCTCAAATAAGTTTGGGAACCAATGCACTGAACCATTCACCACGTTTCTGAGTGCCTCTGTACCTCTAGTAGGAAAAACTTTCGAGTTCGTAAACAGCGCCCCCTATATTATAGCCGCCCTAGGGGGCGCTGTTTAATTTTTCATACAAAATTTTTCGATGACACTTTGAATACGCAACGAAACGAACTCGAAAGTTTTTCCTACTAGAGGTACTGAACAGTCAAATATTTGCATAAAACGGTTATGTATGACGTGACGGCGACGTCATCACGCATCTCTTTTTATCACAGTGTTGCTGCTAGTGACATCTCGCTCGCTCAGTTTTTTGTTGCTCTATTCCGCTAGGTATATTAACTTTATAGCTACGTCACATATTCGCTATGGAAAGAAAAAATACGCGTGTGGTGTGCTAGATGGCGATACAGTAGCTTCTTGTAGCAGTCAGCCCTATCGCATCGGCACAGTATAGTTCCAAAATACTGAACTGTCCTATCCATGACATTGACATTGGGGCGCCACCGTCAATACCGGATCGCTGGTTCCGATTTTTGCCATGTTGGAAACCATATAGTTGAACGATGGTAGCGCCCCCCTGTCATTGAGTTTGGTGGGACAGTTCAGCGTGGGTCATCTATACCGATAACTGACGTATGTATACGAAACAGTGCTCGACTCTGATACAAGATAAATTACACCATATTGTTGATGTTGATGATATTGAGTAGACATTTTTTTAAATACCTTCGCGTAGAAAACTTTGCATATATTATTATTCTGTGACCGAACCAATAAAATATCAAAACTTAATATTGTTTCAGATATCCACCCTGGATAATAAGCACCAAAAAGAATCAGACTAGGGCCACCGCACGCGGCCGACTGACCGCCGCGACTAATCGCACCACGACTTTGTCGCGCCATAGCGTACGCAACTGTTGTCTACATAGGCAAATCTTTAGTTAGCATTCTTACTAATGTAGGATGTTTGTAATAATTAGATATAGAAGGACTGTGTTATAAAATACTAGCTTTCCACCCGCGGCTTCGCCCGCGTGGAATTTTGTCTGTCACAGAAAAACTTTATCGCGCGCGTCCCTGTTTCAAAAACCGGGATAAAAACTATCCTATGTCCTTTCTCGGGACTCAAACTATCTCTATGCCAAATTTCTTCAAAATCGGTTCAGTGACTTAGGCGTGAAAGCAAGACAGACAGAGTTACTTTCGCATTTATAATATTTATAGTATAGACTAGCTGTGCCCGCGACTTCGTACGCGTGAAAATAGTTTGAATAATATTTCCCGTTTTTGTAACATTTTTCTTTATCAGCTCCGCCCCTATTGGCTGTAGGGTGATGTTATATAGCCTAAAGCTTTCCTCGAGATATTTGACAGAATGTCAAGGATATGGTGACGTCATGACAATGCAACATTGCATTTTTTTGTGTACTTGTATAAAATTATATTAGTTAGTGACTGAGTTTCTTGCGCTGCTTCTTCTCAGCACTGGCCCATTTATTGTCCCGAAGCAGTGGTAGGGTTAATATTGGGACGTGTAAAAGTGCTTTTTAAAAGCCTACTTGCAGTTAGTTTTTTCTGTCTTTTATGAGTCCTTCTACATCTATTGTTACTATAGTTTTTAGCATAATCAGTTATTACCAAATATGGTAAGAGAAGATATACTTCAATCAATAAATAAATAAATATAGATCGTTTCATCCACTCGGCCGCGCCCCAGCAATGTCTGGTCCCGGTCGCGCGGGGTGCGGGGAGTGTGGTCCAAGCAAGCCGTAAGGCATTACTGTAGTGTGCGTGTGCACTCATGTAGCATTTAGCGTGTACCGATAACACTCAAACGTTAGCGGAAGAATGGTGGGGCGCGTCTTCGTGGATGAAACGATCTAATACTCTTCATGAACTATGTGGGGCCACCAATATCAATCAAATATCAAAGAAGTCTTATGGATATAGTATATTGCATTTATACAATAAATTACTACTCCACCTCCTAAGGGCCTGTTCACACCGCAATTCAGCAATGGGATGGGAGGTGTCGTAGCTATAATAATACTAAACTGTCATACAGTAAATTGTATTGTTTGTACGTTTTTCTAAAGTTTATTATATTTAGATTTGACCAGATACTAGTAAATAAATAAATAAAATAATTTTAATGAAAATAAAATAGTGAAATGTGACTTGTCAAAAGAACAATAAAACTGAACATTTTCTTTAAAAAAAAAATGACATAAACCTCCTTCTAGCGCAGTCAGGTAACAGATTTATGTACCATCCTAGACTGCATCTCGGTCCGCCCCGAGTGCCAAGCATCAGGGGGTGACAAAAGTCGCGCAGATTAGTACTCACTGGCGCCGCATCTGCATGATATGGACGGTCATGATAATTATGTCATGACAGGTATCATCAATAGCTCATTCGTAGTAACATCTTTCATCTTCGAATCGTTTATCTAATAATCCTGGGGGCACCAGACCATTCCGGGGTGCCATTATNCCACTGCACACAGTTCTTATTGTTAGTATTAAAAAACCACTACTACATAATAAAATGGTCTTTTACACAACTTGATTAATTTTTAAAAATTACACCGTCTCTTTCCTTTCCTATGCATAAGACAAAGCACGATATACTATGTTTGGTCATATCTTTGTATTTAGACTAGTAATATAGGCTGTGATGTTAATGAATTAGAATATAATCTGTGGGTGTTTCAATAGCTTTTATAAACATAAATTATGTCAGTCAGCAACTCTACTAGATGTCAGTGGGTCTAGACAAAGTGCAAATTATAATCGCAAACCAGTCGAAAAGTGGTCGAAAAGCCCCTTTTTTGTATTTGACGGATTCGATTTTCGATTCGATCAAAAAGTGCATTTTGTCTAAGGGGGCTGCAGTATACAGTCAACGTCAAATACTTCGTGACACCCAAAGTGGCCAAAAAGTGGACAACACAAGCTTATTCCAATTGTAACAACGACGTGTTGCGAACTTTTGGCTACTATGGGTGTTGCGGTGTGCGATGTTATGGCCAATTTTTATGTAACAAGCATTTTTATTCCTTCAATAATGTACATATTAGTTGGTAATTTTAACTACTGGGTGGAATCTGCTACTCCGGGGTGGCATCTGCTACTAGGTAGCGTGTCAAAACCCATGGCCTACGGTGGGCCATAATGCGTTCGTTCTCCCTCTTATCAAGGTATCGAGTGAGATAGCTACTTGCCACTGAAGTGGAAAGCACTAATAGGTGTCGTTTACCGCCCCGGAGGTAAACGGGCACCTCTTTAGTTTCATTTGCCCCCTTAGAGCTTGCCACGGGGGTGGTGATTGGCACTGGTGCATTTATCTTTTAGCTGCGCCTATTTTTTTAAGATAGTACACTGACATCTAGTAGTATACTGTTGGCAAAATAATAGTAATGCTTGTAAAACGTGTGTGTGTTAACATAAGGCTTCCGAGTGTGTAGCAAAAAGTCGACAGTGTGTGGTGCCCTAATAAAATTCAAAATGTATATTTTGAGTCATTGTGTAAGTAAACTTAGTTGTAATTTTTATGAAATAAAAATAAAATACATTGATTTGAATTGAATTTGTTTTATTTAATTAATATAATAAATAATATTGATCTGAATCGTGGGAATTAATGATTGTAGAGAGACTGGGAGGCTATTTCCAATAGCCCCCACAGGTGGCAACTGGGACTATTTTGAATGTTTAATTTTCATTTCTATGACCACCGCCACCACCGCGTTTAGGCGACTTTTGGGAAATTCAAAAACGAAAAATGATAGGTAGACCCATTTGCCTCTGCCATATTTTTAGTGTCGCCAGTGGGGATAGCGCATCAAACATTAATTCCCCGATTAAAATAATAACTTTAAAACGAGAAAACTAATAATAAATTCAACAGAGTATCAGTGTCCTGAGCACGAATAATAAATATCGTTACGCGTATGGTAATTGTATTTTTGTATGAATAACAGCTTTATAAGGAGCTACAGTTTTTTAAATCTCCCTAGTACGAGAGATTCGTGCTCAGGGTACAGATTTTTAAGCTTTAGCTGAATGCTGTATCGACTTACAGACTCGAAATAAACTAATTCGTCGCTAAAACTCCAAATCTTCGGGCGAGAGTCGAATGCGGCGCGCGGGGAGCTCCCAGATGCGCAAATTGCACTCCGAGTCGCCCGCTGCGATGCGACACGACCTACAAAAAATAAAACGTCACTTGAGTCAAAGAATAGCTCAGTGTTTCTATACGAGATCGAATTAGAAATGAGGAGATCCGTAAACGAACTAAAATCGCTGACATAGCCCGACGGATTAGCAAGCTGAAGTGGCAATGGGCAGGGCACATAGTACGCAGGATTGACGGCCGATGGGGCAGAAAGGTTCTGGAGTGGAGGCCGCGTACCGGAAAACGCAGCGTGGGACCACAGAATAAGTAATACTTAGTACAGGTACAGAAGGATTACTCCGCAAGACGATTTAAATAAATGCGAGTCTTGCTACGACGCGATACAGTGGAATTATTCAGCTCGCACAGCACTAAGTAGGTACCTACAATTTTATTCACCTACAAGTTTTGTCTCTTTCTATCGCGTGCCTCTGAACTCTTCTTACGTTGTTAGGGTTGCTGTCTAGTAGTGTCTAGTAAAAAAATAATTAATCTACTTATTTATTTGTAATGAGGCACGTACTTATGTAGGTAAGTACGCATTGATTATGGAAATCCTTGGGAGAGGCCTTTGTAGCAGTGGACGTCATTTTAGGCTGAAACGAACGAACGCAATCTGAGCAGTAGTCATGGTAGGTTAGGTTCCTATACTATCCTAAGAATTATTGATTACCTACATGGCCAACATACCTTTCAGCATCTTTGGGAAGCGAAAAAAAAGATAAATCCGGTAGATTTCTTTTCGAATTTAAACACCCGAACGCCGCACAATAATATTTCTTTCTCTTTATGTCCATTTTTAAATAATACTTCGATCATAGAATTAGGTAGGTACTACAACGCACGCCAGCGTCCTGACGGGCGCGCGCGTGACACTCGACTGATATAATACCCGCCGGCGGGGCGCTTCGCTGTAGGTAATTATCGGATGTACCGCGCGGAGTGAGCCAGGCCTGGTGGGACCACCTACAAGGTGAACCGACGACATCATAAAGGTAGCAGGAAGGCGCTGGACGCAGGCCGCTACCAACCGGGCAGCATGGAAAGCATTGGGGGAGGCCTATGTTCAGCAGTGTCCTACGGCTGAGATGATGTTGATGATGGGACACACAATGCCGCCCCCCCCCCCCCTCAACGAGGGGCCGATGGGATAAAACAAACTTGGCCTTCACTGGTTGATTGGCGGTCAAGCTGCAGATTCTGGCTACAGAGGAGTTGAAGCGGTGGGAACGAGACGTGACAATAATCCCATTACCTGAGTTATGGGAGCGGCACGGGAGGGGTGACTGTCAATGATATTATGACGTTACATGACAGAACATACAATCTGAAGTCTCGTTGACGCTTGACGTCTCAAAAACACCCTCCCGTGCCGCTACCACACTCCAGGCACAAAATAGGCTAGTTGCCTAAAAAAATTTTTTTAGTCCGTAATGTTTAATATCAAAAAATATTGGACACGTATATTTTTATTTGTCAATCTAACAAATAATTACATAGTTATGGTGCGTTGAAGTTGCGCACGACGTCACAACGTGCGGCATTTTTAAGCAAGCGTTGACGTCACGGGCCTCTTCTTATGAACTTTGGGGCGCTTTATCTCTTTAAATTTTCATTAGTTTGAAAAAGTGAAAAATACGTGTAGAGTATTTTTTGATAAGTTAACTGACGGACTAATTAAAACTCTTGCTTTTTGACCCAGGCAACATCCCCATTAAGTGCTAGAGCTATAGAAGCATATTTCTCACCCGCTCTGGTTGACAGCGACAGCAGTAACCGTCCCCGCACCAGTCAGCCCTTCAACCGGCACCGCGCGTCCTCCAGACACGTTTAGAAGCCGCACCAGATGCTTCTCAGCCCGCGCCTGGCCTAGCACGAGCACGCACGGGTTGTTTGGAAGCCAAGACATACAGGACACTGGTGTGTCTAGGCAGATGACCTGGAATAGGTGCAAAGTTTATTTATTTACTTATTTAAAGAAAGGTTCAGCCTAACCAACGCGATCACACGCGATCAGCTGGCGTGCAGCGATGGC